TCTTCCTTTCCAGCACTCTCCTTGTGGGGTGAAGCCAGGAGACTCACAGGCGCAGGGTGAGGTGAGGCACGGGTTTCGGGGCATTCACCTTGACCAGAAGCCCCCCCTGCTGATGGGGTTGGTCACGTGCCAGCGTCCTGCTTAGGCTCCCGCGCAAGCTTTGGGGCTGCAGTGGAGTGGGGCCGGGGGGAGGGAGTCAGCTCCCTCACCCGCCTCTTAGACACCTGCTGCTACCGCACGGGCCTCCGGTTCACAGGGCAGCCAGCATCTTCGGGCCCCTGTCAGAGAGGCGTGTTCACCCACAGAGGCCTGTCAGCGCTTCCGTGCCACTGCCTCGCTGTCTGACAGCTGCATTCAGTTTTCCCCCAGGCCCTTCAGGGCTGGCCTGGCTCTGGACACATGGTTAGTGTGGAATCAGTGGGTAAGAAGGAGTCCCTGGACACAGGCCCTGGGGTGGCCTGGCTTGGTCAGCCCTGCCCTTCCCTGCCCTCCCGCCGGATGGTTTGTAAACAGGGTCCTGTGTCCCCTCCCAGCCGGTTCCTCCTCGTTCATTCATCCCATTGATATCGATCACCAAGTGCCTAGACCAGCGTGAGCTGGGGGCTGGACCGTGGGGGCCCCGCGGCTGGCTGGCGGGTGTGGGCGGAGAGAGCATTGTAGATGCATGAAATCCAGCCGTACAGGCGGATGGACGCGGGGCGTAGTCAGGACAGAGGAGGAGGACTTCGCAAGCCTTTTCCATTTAGAGAGTGACGCTCAAAGAGTGACCCTTGGATGTCCCTGGGGCTCAGGTCATTGGCCACTGAGGCCATGCTCCTAAGCCTTTTCGGGGTGTTTTCTCTCCCTGGGATGCTCTATCCTTCCCGCAGGTACCCAGGGAGAACGTTCTTCCTCCAGCTTTTCCCGGACCCTCGGGATGGAGCTGGCTGTCCCCCACCCTGGGCTGTGGCCTTTCCCTAGGTGGCCCGTGTGACAGAAGTGCGTGCCTGTGCCCACACTTCCCCCTTGTGCCCAGAGCTCCTGGGGGGGCTCCTCTCCCCTGCGTCTCTCAGCCCCGCTGGGGGTGGCGTGAGTGAATAATACTGCTGATGGATTGGGGAGCTGCTCCCGCCTCTCTGGGGGACCAAGTCCCTGCTTAGCTTCCCGCAGAGGGCCTGGGGTGGCTCTGCCTGTCCAACTAGGCCTGGGGGCGGCCATCCCCAGTGGGAAGGCGGGAAAGCAGCCTGCCCTAGTGTCTACCCCAGTCCTGCCCTCAGGGCACCCCAGAAGCGCAACCTCTCGGCTGTGTCCCGAGTTTGTGGAGGGTCTGGGGGCGTCTGACTCCAGCCATCCTTCTGCTAATGTGCGCTCAGAGACAGAGACTCTGATTGTGAGCTCTTTCGACCACGGAAAGGCAGAGCCTTGTAGATTCAGGTACCAAGGTGCTTCAGCGCTCCTGAGAGTTAGTCAATCCTTGTGTCTTCAGTCTTTGTGAAACCGGTTATCGCAATTACCGATGGAAGCAACTTTGAATGTGGCCATGCTGTGTTTCCAAACAGCGAGAGACCCTGGACCAGCACCCCCAGCCCGGCTGTCATTCTAGCCCCTCATGCTGTGGCAGGATCCACCCCAGGAGAGGGCCCCGCAGCCTCCCGGTCGGCCGAGGGGACTGGGGCTGCGTCTGCCCTCCACGGCCAGGCGCCTTCCTTGGAAGGGCGGCTTCCTGAGATGGGGCCCGTGTGTTCCGGCAAATGCCTTTTTGGATCATGCAGTCTAAGGGAGGTATTGAGGTCAGCGTTTCAGGACAGTTGGGTTGCAGAGACACATACTGACCGCACGGACCCGCCAGGAGTCTCGTTCCAGTGACCGCAGTCCCCTCACCCCTAGTGCTCACCTCACTGAACGCTCTGGGCTAGGCCACACCTGCTTGCACGCGGCACCCAGTGGGTCCCACCGTATGCCCAGGCACTGCACTCCGAGCCAGACCCCCAGAGATGGGCATAGTTGCTTCCAGCTGGCCAGTGACTGCAGCGACCCCTCGCATCTAAGCCGTCGCGCCCCGAGGGACTGTATTTACAGACGTGTTTGTAGGGTGTACCCTTAGAAGCAGTTTTCTAGCTTTTGAATTTAAAATTGGCTCTCTCCCAAGGATGGCATTTAGGGAAATGAGGTTCTCATTTTCCACTCTCACCCCCTCACCCCTGCTCACCACCACCACCACCCCAAACAGGGAAGAAGCACGGGAGCCTGGCTCAAAGGTGGGGGTGTGGCCAGTTCTGGGGGCAGTGGTCCCTGCCCTTCCCCTGTGGCTCTCTGTTGGGGACCCTGAAAGTGTATCTACCAGCGCTAACTGGCTCCCAGCACTCTCCACACCATCTGCCAAAGGGCAGTTCAGGCCCTGGGTCAAGGTGATGCACGAATGAAGACCCCTGCCCTGTGTCCTGCCCTCCAGAAGGCATGAGATCAGAGCAGCGACCAGACTCAGGCTGTGACTCCCCAGGGACCTGCAGGCAGTGGGCGAGGAGGCGCCCTGCGGCCAGGTGTGGGCGGGGTCTCCTCGCGGGGGGCGGAGTCCTGGCCAGGTACCTCTTCTCTCCGCCCCCTGGCTGCCCGGAGTCCAGGCCTCGAGGAGCTAGCGGATTTGGCGGTGGGGGTGGAGAGAGGAGCGGTTGCCTATTGGGCAACAGGGCGGGGCCGCCGGTGAGGTCGCTCAGGCCAGTATATAGGTGCCCGGGGCAGGCGCAGGCCACGTCGCATCAGGACCGCAGACATGAGGCTCGTCCTTCCCGCCCTGCTGTTCCTCGGGGCCCTCGGTGAGTGCAGGTGCCCGTGCGCACGGTCGCAGTCCCGCTGGGCGCCAGGTGGCTGCGCCTGCCGCCTCGAGGCGTTGGACCGTCCCCTGCCCGCCTGGGAGGGGCGGGAGCGGGGCTGCGCTGGGCACAGTGCAGAATGTCCCAAAGAGCTGTGGGATGCTGGCGCGGTGTCTGCCCAGGACTTTGGTATCCATCCTACTGTGGCGCGTTTTACCTGGGGCCTCGAAGCTCAGAAAGGGCGAGTGACTTGTTTAAGACACCCAGGGCGCGCGAGTTCAGGTCTTCACTGCTACAGGGACTGCGTGAGCAGGGCAGAGGCAGCCTCTCCGAGCCTGACTTCCCTCATGGAAGCGGAGGAGGCGGTGGGGTGCTCCCTGCTCCGTGCTGGGTAGGGGTATGCCTGCCATGCAGCAGGAGCTCAACTAACTTGAGAAACTATCACCTTTATTTAAAAAGAAGAGAATTATTTATTTATTTATTTAATTTTATTTGTTATTTTTAATCTGACCAGAGAGAGACAGAGAGAGAGAGAGAGGGAAAGTGAGAAAGCAAGCCACCAGGTCCAGGTGGTTAGCCAGGTGGGAGCCCAGCACCATAACGACCACTCCACCTGCCGGCCCCATTGCCATGTGTTTACGAGCAGGAAACACGGCAAAGCTGTAGTGAGGCCACTCCGCAGCTGTCTCTGGCTGCCGAGGCCCACCGGGAGCCGGCTGGCGTGAGCCCCTGTTCCAGCAGGCCGCCCTTAGCGCACTAGGAGGGAAGGCGCGCACCTGAGGGTGGAGGAGGACGCGGGAACGGTCCCCCAGGAGGCAGCGGCTGAGTCCGTGTCCTTGGCCTGCTCTGTCAGGACTGTGTCTGGCCGCCCCTAAGAGAAGCGTCCGGTGGTGCACCATCTCCCAGGACGAAGCAAACAAATGCACCCGGTGGCAGCGGAGCCTGAGGAAAGCGAGAGGCCCCTCTCTGTCCTGCATCAGGAAAACCTCCTACCCTCTGTGTATCCAGGCCATCGCGGTGAGTCTGTGCCGCGGCTGGGTGGGGCAAGCCGAGGCCGGGATAGCCTGGGAAATGTGTCCCCCTGCTCCTCTGCTTTCCTTCCGCCACCTGTGAGCCGGGAGCCGTCCTCCCTCATAGGAGACAGTGGGATTTTGATAGTGCAAAGACGCAAGCGCGAGAAGCCCCATGTGGGGACCAAGGTGTCAGCGTAAGCTGTCACTAGCTGTGCAGAATGGAACGCCGCCACCTTGCTGTTCATGGAAGTCAGGGTTCCTCGGGAGGGTTATCATCACCCCAGCTAGCCCGTCCTGCCATGGTCGCCAGTCCCGGGCAGAGCAGGGCCGGCTAGGGCAGGGCAGGGAAGGCGGTTGTCCACGACACCCTCTGTGCGGGAGCAAGGGGTACCCTGCTCGTGCAGGACTGCGGATTCGTTCATCTTGTGAGATGTCAGATCTACCGACTCCTTTACTCACTCAGAGGATGCGCCCTGTGCACCTGACGTGTGCTGTAGGCGTGTGCACACGTGTGCTGACAGTACACGCAGAGTGGCCAGTCTGTGAAGGAATCCCAGGGAACCGCACGGGGCTGTCATAGAACTTACTCTTAGAGTTATTAGTGGGAGCCAGCCACAGGTTATTGTAACTGGCCTGAAGGTAAATGGCACGGCCCCTCCTGCTTGGCCTGGATGCAGGCTCCTAGACTCTCGTTAAAATACCCATTTGATCTGAATGTCCGTGAGGAAAGCCGCAAAGTCTGCCTTTTTTTTTTTTTTCCAAGGTTTTTTTTTTTTTTTTTTTGCCATAGGGCATGTGTGCTTGCTGGAGAGAGACAGAGAGAGGGAAAGTAAGAAATCACCTCCCCCCCGTCCCCCATGGGGATGGCCATGCAGTACTCCCTTCTCCTCCTCTTGGGATTTGGGGCACATATGCACACACACCCAGATTATTTTTCAAGCTGCCAGGTCTGGGACTCGAACCACATGGTAGTCGGCAATGTGGGATCCAGTTACCTTAACTTCCATGCCACCTAACTGGCCCTTTTGTAATAATTGTAATGTCCCTTATTAACTTTGTTTTCTAGTCAATGAAATAGAACTTAGAAAAAAATAACTCTGGAGGCAAAGTTGGCGAGAGGGCGTCTCAAGCAAACAGCTCTGAATACGGCTAACTACAGGGCGTGCTCAGGACAGCGGTGCAGAGGAGCAGGCGGGGAAGGGAGGGGAGGGGACATGCTGGCGTGGGATGCATAGTGCCTGGGCTGGTGCTCATCGTCCCCGGAGAAGGGCCCTTTGGCTTGTGCCGGCTCTCACAGGTCAGGCGGACGTGACAGAATGCGTCCTCCATGGAGACCCCTGCAGTCATCCCGCCCTTCTGACACCCCGAGATCCCACCTGCCTGGGTTTGGGAGCGTTATCTCCTGAAGTCTGTCTGGCCTCTTTTCTTTCAGGCCAGCAAGGCAGACGCTGTGACTCTGGATGGCGGCTGGGTGTATGAAGCAGGGCTGAACCCCTACAAGCTGCGGCCTGTCGCGGCGGAAGTCTATGGAAGCACAGCGGGTGAGCTCTCTGGGGACTCCACATCTAGGTGGCCTTAGCTGTGGCCAAGATGAGCATGTGGATGGGGTCTTGGCCAGCGTGGCACTGCAGGGCATGCAGTTGCCAGGCTCTTTGACACTGACCCCTGGGAGAAGGACCTGGGCACTCCCTGGGGACCAGAGCTGCGTGGGCATCGGGTGCAGCTGTAGCACGTGGGGGCCTCCTCCCACCAGGGGCTTCATCAGGGAGGCGCTTTCCCCCTCTGGTCCAGGGAAGAGCTCTTGTTTTCTGTCTCCTCAGAGCCTCGCAACTACTACTACGCCGTGGCCATAGTGAGAAAGGACAGCGACTTCCAGCTGAACCAGCTGCAGGGCCTGAGGTCCTGCCACACTGGCCTCAACAGGACTGCCGGGTGGAGGGTGCCCATAGGGAT